TTTTTTCTGTCCAGTTTTGTTTCCTTCTCCATCTTGTAGGACAAGCCAAATTTCACATTCCGAAGCCTTTCTCAAGAAGTCTGACATTGTTTTTCTTACCTTGTAGATGGACATACGTGCAAATAATCCTTCAAGGCCATCTGGAAGTGTGGATAAAGACAGGGAACTAGTAAGATTCTCTAATGTTAGCGCAGCTCAGGGTGACGATCGGTCTTTATCAGTGGCCGTTGATGGTTGGGAGAATTCAAAAATGAAGAAAAAGCGAACTGGTATAAAGCTAGATGCTGCTGGTAGTTCGATGATGGCAAAACCAGTTGATGGCTACAGAGAACCTAAACAAGGAATGCATCTGCGGCTTACCACTGAACCGCGTTCGAGGTCGATCGATGCCCATGGCTTCAGGTATATTCTGTATAACTCAGTAATTTTATATTTCAATGGTGCTGCTCTTTTTGTGGAATACGTTTAGCATTTTGTTGTCTATCTGGGTGATAAATGATAGCATGTATGATCGACCTGATGTATTTAACCTTAGTTTCTTGCTTGGCCAGAGACCTTCTCATATTACACATTGGAAGAAGCACATCCATCATTTCTTTCTTTCTTTCTTTCTTTCTTTCTTTCTTTCTGTTTTTCTTCCCCCCTCCCCCCTTCTTATCCCTGTTGTTTTCTATTTTCTAGGTCAAAACATTAATTGTTGTTGATGCAAATCTTAGTACACTGACTCTCATGTAATTTGATATTGCCTTTATACGTAGATCTGGCTCTATAAATGGAGGTCAGGGAGTAGGAAAAGCTGAAGCCACTCTGCAAACTGGCTTAGGCATGCGGACACCCACATCGAGGACTGACTCCGATAACACATCCCTTCTCCATGAGAGGAGAGAACGTCCAATTGGTCAAGAGAAAGAAAGAGTGAACCTGAAAGTGGCAAATAAGTATGATTTTCCTTTCACAGTTCGTCTTGGATATTTTAATATTCTAATAAAATTGTGAAGGTTTTTTGCTTCTTATTGTCCTATTGTTTTTTAACTGCTTTATGTTTTTCTCTTTTGATCATTGAATGCCAAAATAGCGAGTATTAGCTGCAACTCATTATGCTCAGATTAATAGGTCTTACATTTCTTAGATTACTTCAATGTTGAGTTGCAACATTTAATATTTACTGAAATTTGTTTCCAGTTTTATTTAGTGTCATTATATTGCAAGACAAAGTGTGTCCACAAATGTTTTCTTGATAACTGAAAGTATGTGGTACTTTTCTTTGGTGAACCTTAATCAATCCAAGATTTTTTGTTGGTAAATGTAAAGTAGTATAGCTGGTTCAGCACAAAGAAAGGCTAATTAGTTAATCAGAATAGTGAATTGCAGCTGCTAACATGATTTCTGGGCTGTGTATGCTCCTTTGATCGCTCTTGGACTCATTATAACTTTTATCTGGTCCTTTCTGAATATAATATTGGATTTGAGAAATTTAACCTAGACCATGGTTAAAGTTTCCATTAGTTTATTAGCCCTACTGGATAAAATGAAGTATCAAATTTAGAGCATATCTGAGACCTGAAAGCCTGATGGAGATAGCTACAGTTTTCCCCTGGCCTATTCTTTGGATTTTTTCTGAAGAATAGGATGCATTGTTGACGTTTGAAGACTAGTATCGTAGCATAGTATAGTCGTCGAAGTATTTGTAGGTTAAATTTTGTGGAAAGAAATCGTTACATCTCAGTTTGCTGTTCTTCTGTCTGTATGTACTGTATGTGTATTCTGCCTATGTTCACCGTATCTTGGCAACTATATTTGCTTTTGAATTACCTCTCGTTGTGAATCTATGGCCTTCCAAGGGCGAATTCTCGGGAAGATTTAAGTTCAGGCAGCCCTACTTCAGGCTCAAAGTTGAACGCAAATGTTCGTGCCCCCCGTTCAGGCTCAGTTGGTGGTGCGTCAAAGTTGTCTCACGTGGTGCAGCGATCTAATGATTGGGAATTTTCTAATTGCATTAACAAAATTTCTGGTGGCCTTGGAGTTAACAGCCGCAAACGGACTCCTTCTGCACGGTCTTCTTCTCCTGTTGCTAACTGGGCTCAAAGGCCTCAAAAGATTTCTAGAACTGCCAGAAGAACTAATCTGTTGCCGACTGTTCCTGGGCATGATGAGAATCCCATTTTAGATGCCACATCCGACATGATGGCTGAAAGACGTTTTCCTGCCAGTTCTCCTCAGCAAATCAAAATAAAGAGCGATAATTTTTCTCCAGCTGCATTATCTGAGAGTGAGGAGTCAGGTGTTGCTGAAATCAAGTCTAGAGAAAAGACTAAGAGTTGTGATGAGATAGATGAAAAAAGTGGTCAGAATGTCCAGAAAATGTCAACACTGCTGCTACCCCCAAGAAAAAATAAGACAGTAAATGGATATGACCATGGAGATGGTATAAGGAAGCAGGGTCGAACTGGTCGAGGATATACTTCATCCAGATCCCTCTTACCGTCATCAGTCGAAAAGCATGGGAACGTGGGGGCAACTAAACAAATTAGAAGTTCTAGAATTGTCCCTGACAAGAGTGAAAGGTATTTTGTTTCTTTTTTTAGTTGGTCTTCTTAAAGTATATTTTGCTCTTTCACTGACGCAAGCTTACAAACTGATGTGCTTTCGTATATTGCTTCTTTCAGCAGACTGGGTCGTCCACCTACTAGAAAACTCTCTGATAGGAAGCCTTACACACGACAAAAACATATCACTGTCAATGCTGGAGCAGATTTTCTCGGTAATTAATTATTAATGTTGGAATGAGTATGTGAACTTGAAATCAACAGTCAGATAATCTAACTGATTTCGGTTTACCTTTGCGTGGCTGTAATATACATCTATATCTATACCACGGAACAGTTGGTTCTGATGATGGTCTTGAAGAGCTCTTGGCTGCCGCAAATGCGGTTACAGACACTGGTATTATTTCTTTCATTTTTAGAACCTGTTATTTCCA